AAAAATCGCACGAGTAGTTTTAAAAAATTAGCTCTCAAAAATTTTAGCTCCTCAATGTTAATTGAGTTTGGTATATATTTATTAATCTCTCTTTTTTTATTAAACTTATTTGATTCTTCCTTTCACATTTCGAAATTTAGGTTCATTCCAAATAAAATTCGCCCATATTTTATGATTTATTTTTAAAACTTGTATTTTAAAATAATTTCTTTAAATTTTCAAAAAATATTTTTTGAGTTATAATCTATAAAATTTTTACCATCATCTTAAAGTAGACGTATTTCTAAGCTTGCAAAAAACTACAGTTTTTTATTCAAAATTTCCGAAGATATACGTGAATATATATTGGTGCGTAACGTTTTTGTTGTTTGACTTCTGAATTAGTATATATTGGTGCGTTTTGAAATTTGGCATATATGTTGAAAGCGATAAAACATCAAATGTGGTTTGGACATTTTTCTAAAATTACTTAGAAGTAAAACCGAGGTAACTTTTTTTCCGCTTATGTAAAATGTAAAAAGGTAGGAATGAGGTGCCTCTTTTCCCGCTCCGGCAGAATGGAAGCGAAAGGAAAATTGGTTGCCACATATTAAGAAGTTCTCCAAGTGAATTATGCTTGGCGAAAACTAAAAAAATTATGCCAAGATATTTTTTTTAATTTCTCCGTAAATTTCGCAAGTATGTTATTTCAGAAAGGGTCGACTTTGAGTCAAAGTACCTATGTTAGAAAAATGCTATATATATATATCTAATATATATCCTAAGTGACGCTTTCGAGACATGTGTGTGTATTTAATTATGGCAAAGCACACTAGGGCTATCTGCCTAAGGGAAGGGATGCCTTACGTGGAGTACTTTCTAAGGGAAACTGGCTCGTATACACGTTACACATGGGGAAAACCACGAAAACGCCCATGCAGCCAGCCCGTTCGCGGGATTCTTTCGAGACATGAAAAACGCAATTTGAATTTTGTCAATCAGCCAGTAGACCGGGAGATATAGGACTGTTCTCTTTTTTCCGCAGTATACCTGTTAACCCTTTCCGGCACGCTACCTTTTAAAGTCAGAGTTTTAATTAAAAAAAAAAAAAGGTAGACAGCCTAATTAGGCCTAGAGGGGTACACAAGTAAAATTTTGTGAAGATAGCACTTATCGTTTTAATTCTGGTGGGTGTGCCCAAAGTGACACACTGATTGAATAGAGTTTCGAAAACAGTGCTGAAACGAGCATTGTTGTCAATGAACTGACCGATGAAATGCGGAGAAACAAAGAATACAGACTCTCAGTTGTCCTTAATTATCGGTGAGTCCGGTCTGGGCACACCTAGGGTTCGCCGTTTGATTTTAGGCAAAATTTTAAGGTAAAAATTTAAAACTAATATAGAATAAGCAGATTAGAATACAGCCAAAAAAAATAACATGGAAATTTCTTTTTCAAACAATTCCTTTCATACCCTAAAAAAACCTGGAAGATTTCTTTGAAAAATGAGGGTCTTAAAAAACTAAACATGACTAAAATATATGGACTGATTTGTGTTGAGCTGCCATCTATTTTAAATAATGAAGATTCAGAGTAACCTATAGTAACCTATAAATCCTTTTTCATTCAATTTTTCTGTGCGTACAGAAGGAGATTTTTAGGTGTGTCCAGACCGGACACACTGTGCCGCAAAGGGTTAAACCCATACAAGCTCATTTTCGATACAGTTGTCTCTCCTTTAAGTGTCTAGGGTTCTCTTTTTTCTCTTTTTTTCGCAGTATACCTGTTAACCCTTTCCGGCACGCTACCTTTTAAAGTCAGAGTTTTAACTAAAAAAAAAAAAAAAAAAAAAAAAAAAAAAAGGTAGGCAGCCTAATTAGGCCTAGAGGGGTACACAAGTAAAATTTTGTGAAGATAGCACTTATCGTTTTAATTCTGGTGGGTGTGCCCAAAGTGACACACTGATTGAATAGAGTTTCGAAAACAGTGCTGAAACGGGCATTGTTGTCAATGAACTGACCGATGAAATGCGGAGAAACAAAGAATACAGACTCTCAGTTGTCCTTAATTATCGGTGAGTCCGGTCTGGGCACACCTAGGGTTCGCCGTTTGATTTTAGGCAAAAATTTTAAGGTAAAAATTTAAAACTAATATAGAATAAGCAGATTAGAATACAGCCAAAAAAAAAAAAATAACATGGAAATTTCTTTTTCAAACAATTCCTTTTATACCCTAAAAAAATCTGGAAGATTTCTTTGAAAAATGAGGGTCTTAAAAAACTAAACATGACTAAAATATATGGACTGGTTTGTGTTGAGCTGCCATCTATTTTAAATAATGAAGATTCAGAGTAACCTATAAATCCTTTTTCATTCAATTTTTCTGTGCGTACAGAAGGAAATTTTTAGGTGTGTCCAGAACGGACACACTGTGCCGCAAAGGGTTAAACCCATACAAGCTCATTTTCGATACAGTTGTCTCTCCCTTAAGTTTAGGGCCCACCAGCGGCCGAGCGGTAAAGGCGCGGAACATTGGTAGTTCGGTTCGAGGTTCGAATGCCGCGAACGGGCTGGCTGCATGGGCGTTTTCATGGTTTTTCCCATGTGTAACGTGTATACGAGCCAGTTACCCTTAGAAAGTCCTCCACGAAGGCATCCCCTTCCCTTAGGCAGATAGCCCTAGTGTGTTTTGCGTAATCTCAATAAACCAAACCAAACCCTTAAGTTTAGCGTCTCGAGCGGCAGTCCATGTAGCCCGCCCCTTATTCCGGCACTGAGGAAGTGTAATATTAATTTATCTTAAATCAAATCTAATGCGATGCCAATGCAATAAAAGAAAGGCAACTTTGTTTCATTTTTTAAAGTAATAATTGTAGCCATTATTAATTTTACACGAAATGTAGCATGTTTCAAAAGCAATTCACAAGATATATTTGAGCGGAAAATTTTAGAATAAGTAAACTTCTCTCTGGAAAGAGGATGCATTATTTCAGATAACAGAAAGCTATTTATACTAAAACAAAATGTTCATTTTTTAACCCGATAGATGGCGCGATCATAAATCTGCTTCAAAGAGATATTAATTGTCTATGACCTTCGCTCGACCTCGTATTATGAAAAGAACCTTCAAAAGTGGTTTCACGATCTACACAAGGACAAATCATTCTTTTATATTTTCCTATTTCTGCAGCTTTTTTTTTAATGCTTATTTATCTCTCTAACTCCCCCTTCTTCGACTTTGCAAATAGTTCTTAACATCGGAAGTACTTGTTGTATTAGGGACAAAAGCGAAACTGTTTTGCTTAAACAAAGCAACATTTAGCTGACTATTTGAAGCGATTAAATATTATTTATTTGCTTTTAGTTTTGTTGTTGGCAACAGTATTACCATTGAGCTTATGACCTTTAAAAAATGTTATGTATTACATTCTTGTTCTATTGTGATCACATCTCAAATGAATGGCTATTCTTGTGGTATTATAACCGCTCAATACTTCGAATTTGGAACAAATTTGCATTCTTTGAAACTGATAAAATAAGGCTTGGTTGTCTCAATATTCTGAGTTATTATTCTACTATTATATCGAGGGAAGGTTCTATTTTTACTTTCAAGTCTGAACAATAAGTGAAACGGAACATTTTGATAAGTGAAAATTGAGTTTCAGAATAAAATGATCTGATTACATGAGTAAGCGGATCTCAAATAATAAATTAATTGCATTTAAAATTTAGCAGTATTCCAATGTTAACTGAAATTCGTGGTTTGAAACTGAATGTAATGTAATGAAATTCTTTAGAATAACAGAATGGTGGTATCAGATTTTCTATTTTCGATATATTTTAATATAATTTAGTACCTATTCTTGTAAATAATTAAAATAATATCTACAAAAATTGATGCAATGTATCAGATATCATGATATTCTAGATTTCTAAAGTTGCCAAATGTCAATGATATAATAATTAAGTGTGCAGACTCATATAACAACATCAAAATATAACAATTATTCATTATTTTAAATAAGTATCGTAATTACCTGTAAAGATTGGTTTTGATCCACAGATTGGCAGATTTTACTTTCCAATAAAGTGAGATTTGATTTGAAAAAGTCTGTTTTTAATAAACTAAGACAAATGTATATGAAATCTGTTAATAACACTTCTAAAGAACTTTTATATATCTTCTTGAACATATTTACAGCATACTTGATGTCTTCAAATATTTATGTTCCGGTTATTACTTGCTTGTGCTTTTTCCAGTTTTTGAAACAAGCCTCATCGTCATTTCATTCATCGTAAAATTCCAAGTCAATTTTTAATCTTAGAATCCGAAAAAAATATTTGAGACATCAAGTCAGGTGAGTAAGGACGCTGAGGAATCATTGTTCTCTCGTTTCGGTTAAAACGTAATTAGTCAGTAACAATACTGGTGCGAAGAACTGTGATCTGAAGGGCCAAAATTTGTTTCTCCGTATATTAGCCTTTTAACTATGATAAATTATCTCTAACTTCTGAACACTTCAAAATAATAACACAGATTATTTATTTATTCTGGAGAAAAATAGTTAATAGAAGCAAATCCAGTAAATGAAAAGACGGTTCAAGTGACTTTAGTATTTGACCTGAAGTATCGCACATTTTTCAAGTTCCGTACTGTAAATTTTTATGGTTAATCATGAGTTTTGATCATATTAATAAATCTTTAATCTTACAATTTAGTTTTTTTTTCATTTATACATTTAAAAGGAATTTTATTAGCAAATGAATTTTACTTATTAAATTACGCCTTTTTTCGTTTTATGTTTCGAATGTGTGATTAATACACTTTTTCGAATGTGTGATTAATACACTTTAAAAAAATCATTTATATTCATTTTTATTGCATCACATCTAATGCATTCGAAGTCAACATCAATAATTCATATTGTGATGCACAACTAAAATATTAAGAAATTTCTGATGTATATTTATTTATGAAAGCTGGATTTTCCCAAAATTTTTATTTTATCTTATTTCTTGCAGACTTTCCACACGCCGAGTTTTGGCGATGAAGAATTTGACATCCCGCCTATTAGTTTACCACCAACTACGCCAAGCAGCGACACCAATTCCAGTGACGTATACGGCTCTACGCAGGTAGGAATAAATTTTCATTGAAATTGCCAACTCATCCATTTCATCATCACATCTCCGGTTCATTGCCGAATCTTCCAATTTTAATTTTTAGCTTTTACTAAGGAAAAGGCTTTCCGGCATTAAATGAAATTTATTAAATTATTAAAACTTAAATTGCATAATTTTGATTCCTGTATCCCTAGTGATTTCAGCATTCTTCTTTTTATCCGATATGCTTTAATCTACTTCATCATCATGTAGTATCATCTGTAGAACATCTCTAGAATGTTTAATAAAGATTCAGCCAATATTTAATGAACATGGTTAATTTTATTGTACAGCCGCTCAGACTGTATAGTGGTTAGGGGAGCCTACTGCGACACCGAAGGGCCGGAGTTCGAATCCCGGAGAAGGCATACCTGTAACTGTCCGTCACCCTTCATAGGAAGTAACAGTGGCCCAACTAGTAGGTGCTTCCGCAATAAGGTGGCCACCAACTTCCAGCCTTAGTAGAGGCCAAGCCTATTGTGTTGTCTGACGTAGTCAGCCCAATCCCACGAAATTCCTCGTGGCGAGGAGCGCTAGATTACGTCTGTCGTTGGTAACAAACAGCCTTCAGTACTTATCAGGTGAAAGTGCGGTTTGGCTCAGTTCCGCCCAAGGAGATTAGAATAGACCAAGGAGGTTAGAAAGGTACAGTTTTATTCCTCGATAGTGGAGGAAACTGAGAAGCTTAAGTCGAGGAAACTGGCCAAGCTTAAGTCGGCTAAGTGCCTACCAGTGGAAAAAAATATATTGTACATCAGTACATGGTTCGTTAATAAATTTATTTGCGCAAGATTATGTATTAATTATCGATTTTTATTTTCATCGTATTTTAAAAAACATAAAAATATTTTTTAAAAAATAAAATCTTCCTTACTCAGGATTTTTTTTAGTATAAAAGTAAGAAAATCACGAAATGAAATTAGCCAAGGAATAAAAATGTGGTTATTTAATTATGTGGTTATTAATATATTTTATATCCAAATCATGTTTTCATCTGTTTATTACCTGACTCATGCACTATAAAACGAATTTAAGTAAATTTAGAGTTATTTTGTCATGAAAACATTCCAGAAAATCCCGTTTGTCGCAGGGTCCGAATTTTTTATATTTAAAGGTTGGTAGCTATGCCTTTTATAGTACCTTTAAATACCAATTATACCGAACAAAATCTTATCTTTCAGCCCTTAAGCCATCAGGAGCAGCCAACACAGCAACAGCAAACACCCAACCCTAACCAGCAGCAGCATCCACACCAACACATAATGTCTCCCCCTCCTCAGATGTCTCCAAGTCCGTGTAGTCAACCAGGTGGTTTGGACAGGATAGGGACAGTGATGACAACCGTCTCCACTGCACCTTCTCCACCCACAATGATGACCTCTTTTTCTGGATCTCCTCACCATCATCACCACCAGCACCATCAAAACCCCCACGCACCTCCTTTGCAACAGCATCAATCACAGCAACAGCAGCAGCAACACCAATACGGTAACCCTCATCCCGGTGATATGTACATGCTGCAGATAGCGCCTGGCAGCATGATGCCACCGCAATCAGTGCAGTTTCAGTAAGTATACACAATTTTGTTGTTATTTATATTATTCTTAATATGTGGATGGCGGTACTTAGTATAATATGCATCCTTCTGCTTTCTTAGCGTACAACAATATGCAATTCCTACCAGCTACTCCAATGGACCAATGCAGCAATCGCACCTACACATGGCCCACGCGCAGCAACAACAGCAGCTTCACCACCAAGTTCCTCACCAGCAACAACACCATAACATGGCCATGCACCCTCATCACCCGTCGGTGCATCCCCATCGCCATCAACAACTGTTGCCTCCTTCTTCAATGTTGGCAGTTCAGTTAGGCATGCCAAGGCACCAGAGGCCGGGATCGGTGGGATCTTCGCCTCCAGGGTCCAATCATACGTCGCCTGGTCTAGAAACAAGTGAGGACAGTGATGACAGTGGCCACTTGTCTCAGGTATGTTACGTACAAAAATGTTATTTTTGCATCTTCTATTTGAATCTAAGTTTAAGAAATTTCAAACTAATATTTTACAAACTTATGATTTCTGACAAGTTTTAACAAATTCGACCTAATGATAGATATTGTGAAAGACGTTTATTAAACTGCCAGCAACTTAACAAATATTTAATATCCAAAGCCAGAATTCGAAATTGAAATAATTATGCATGAACAATGATTATTTAGGTGCCTATTTTAGTCTTTTTCTTCAGCTCTAATACAGCACCGGATTAAATTTACTGCCTTTCAGTATGTGGTAAGAAGATAATACGATATATATTACAGTATGTACAGTACAGATATTTATTACAGTATGTATTTAGCTGTAATTTATCTGTTTTGGAGATAAAGCGCAAAATTTGTTATCAACCAAGTTAAACATTAATGGTATATTTATTTAACTTGAAGGAAATATATCAAAATTAACTTTTAATTTCTGTAACTTCTTTCATACCGATCATGACAACAATGACCTGCAACAACTCTAGCATTTCTTTGTTGGTGTGTTCTGTGAAATACGTTACATACTTTTTCGAATTCAGAAATAATTTGTAAGTGTCGCAAATGATTGAAATTATAAAAAGTTGTAAATCATCAGTTCGTTCACAGAGTGAAATAAGATTTTTTTTGCCTTTTCACGTTCCTCATTTAAAATACTACATTTTAAAATTCTTATCGTAAAATATAAACTATTTATCTTTGACTATCACACAGTTATCTTTGAAATTTCTCTATTATATGTATAACGTGTAAGTCCTGAGAGATTAAAAACTTTTCATCCTGTCAAGAAAATGAATCAATTTTTACTAAATAATAATATAAATATTAATGAAATTATTAAACTTGCACGTTAATATGTTTTGTGTAATTCTGTAAACATTTTCTGCGGCATGCGCTGGTATAACAAACGATTTCCCTGACAACTAATTATTAATAGCTCCTGGTTCCTAGTATTAAGCGAGCACTCCATTTGTTAAAAAATGCTTGACGTATCTAAGTATTTATTAAATAGTGCTTATTAGATTTAAAATATGCGTTAAAAGAATTGCGTAGCATCTTATTAGAATTATTCGAAGACATTTTTAAGATGCTGCCAGCATTTTCAATCAGATTTTAATTTACCATTTCAAAATTTTCTGTAAAGCTGCTTGTAATGCTATAAGATTTTTTTTAATTAATTTTTATATTAAAAGTTAAAATATGTTTCATAATTTTGAGTTCCAAATATTTAAAAAAAATAGCGAATTTCTGAGAACATATTTAAAAAAGAAAGAACTCGGATTTTAACATCGCGCCAAAGGATTTGTTAAAGATTTTCATGCTCTCGCTAATCATTTTAGGTTACAAACTGCTTTTGGGCTCACTCCTGCTAACACTTTTTTTGTCTTTTTAGCTTTATTATAAGCATCGTTTTGTTCGCACTTGTGCCACATACATAGTTCAGGAGCAAAATATTTAAATCCAGCATATCTGTAGAATTCTCACGAGAATGTTAGGGGTTGCCATACATTATTTTTATTATTTCTTTGAAAACTAGCCGCTTGAGTTGCCAGCCACCTAAAATATTTTTCATATAAAAGAAAATTGTACATAATGATTTAAATAAGTTCAGCTAGAGTCATTTAATAAAAATATTTAATATTTCTAAATAGATATCTCATGATTTAAATGCATTTTTATTTAAACCAATTAGTTAAAAAAGTAGAAAAACTACTTTTGGAAATTACGGTTATTATCTCTTGGTTTGCTAACAGAAAGATTAAATTTGAAAATTTGATATCTTACGCTTTACTTAATGGCAACCAGTTGCAACTCTTTGCTCCGCACATTGCCGAATTTGTGGATTAAAACTGAAAGATAAATAGCTTACATTTTGCCGAATGGCAACAGTCTGGCGTGCTGAAGATAAAAATGTTTTATTTTGAATAGGGCTGCCCCTTTTCGCTTTCAAATAGCTGAGTTTGTTAAAAAAAATTCGTCAAGTTCATGCCATGTAGGGAATAAATAAAAAACAAATTCCAAATTCGGGCTTCGAGGTGCTTTGTTAGGGTGGAGGACTACACGTGTGTTAAAAATTCGGTGGCTCTTTTTAAGTGCCGTCGTCTGTGTTTAAGTAATTTAATTATCTAAACTCTTTTGATACTACATTTATATTTTAACCAGTTTTATGACAGATTTCTTTTGAATGTGTCTAAATTTAAGAAATAAATAGTGTGAATGTGAAATACAATCTTTGACTTTTGCAATATAACATTTGGTAGGAACAATTGGAAACGTCATTTCGACAAAAAGTGCATTTCCAAACTAACAGCACCTCTGGTGCTGGAGTGCACTTAATCCTTGTTTTCATTCTGACCACTTTAAGTCACATGATTATTACTCGAAATACTTTATTAATTTAGTTGAAAGATTTTCGTTAAATTGTTTATTTTTCTACTGATGTCATCTAAGAAACAATTATATTCCATTTGTTTTTTCTGCAATTACTCGTGGGTAGACGTCATCAACGTAACAGAAGAGCCTTTTAACTTCCATACTGCGTTAACCGAGTCCAGATGCCACCTAATATTCGATATCCAATTTAAAACTCAAAACGAACTAACCACGTGGCTTGCCACTCGGTTTCATTCTACAGGAAACGATGCAGAAATCGTCCAACTGCTTCAAACCGTTTAATCGATTCTAAATCGCATCGTATCGCTCTGTTGCGAAATCGATTCGCAGCAGCTGCGTTCAGCCTCCAGGGCTTTGATCAATACATTTCAACAAGCGGCTATTTGTAACCGATTTGGTAACCCATTTTCATGAAAGGAAATGAATTGTCTCCCCTGATGATTATTACTGTCAACATCAATATGAAATTTTTTCACACGTGCCTTTTCTTTAGTGATGTTTTTATCTATGAAAGATCTCGTTAATATTTGTTCTATATGTTATTATATGATTATTCCTTCTTAGGGAACTAAAAAGCAAGCATTTTCGTATTGAATTGTTAAGAAATGAACAAAGCTAAGTATATGGTTTTTTTTCATAAGAAATAGAATTTATTGCGAAGAAAGAAAGAAAACATTTATTATCTCTATGTAAAATATGAGTAGTTGTACTTTGAAATTGTTTTCAGGCGGTCTTTGTTTTGAAGTTTATTGTGTTTTTATTTCAAAAGATACAAATAAATGGAATGAATTCGATCAAAATATATTTGCTAAAAAGTTCAAAATTATCATAAGGATATAAAAGAAGAAAATGTAAATGAAATATTTCAAAAGATGATTGGAGTTATATTTCTTGTTTCATCTTTGCATTTCCACTTCACAAAATCATGCCCGAAATGTAAAGCGTATTAATCAAATAAGTATTTAAAAGAAATATTTCAAGTATTTTAAATGTGATCTAAGTTGTATTCACCGATATCAATCACATGAGTTTTAGGAAATTTATAACGAAGATATGGTTTTTATATTTGGTTGCTACTATTTATTATTCATTTCTATTCAAAGCGGTAATTTAAATCCTTTTACTTTGCATTCACAATGACGGATGTGGCGCCATCTAGTGCAAGTTTGTGACATGTATGAGTTTGGATTTACGTGAGTGATACGCACGAAAGTATTACGTACACGCTGTAATCAGTTATAGTAAATCTGAAAAATTTAAATGTGGAATAATCCTGCAGAAAAATCTGTGACAGTGGTATAAGATTGAACTAGGATTAAATTTTCATCGGTTCTAATTTTAAACTGGGAATCCGTTTTCAACGTTTCTAATTCCTTGATGTTAAACAAAATTTCTTTAAGTCTTACGTGAGGCATTAATATTATAATCGTAAAAATTAACTAAATAATTAATTCATTAATATTATAATCGTAAAAATATTTATAAGGCGCACTACAGACAATAGAAGTATACCAGAAATTTCATCAAGAGTTTGATATATACAGAACATACTATTTTTCGGTACATAAGAAAGAGAGAAGATGAACTTGCTTTAAAAGATGGAAATTCTACATTGCATTCCTCCAATTTTTTACCAATATTTACATAAAACATAACATTTTTATATTTATAATTCGTTATGTGCACATCCTGTATTACGTATCTTGGATGTTTGAACCAAAATATTAAACGGCAATTTGGATAGCTTATCGATGTGTGCATTCAACTCCAGAAAGTCTTCACCCGACATAAATTCATTGTTAGAAATAATAATGTAAAGCAGTATTCATAACAGGAAATATATCGAGGCAGCAGAAATCTTTCCGATGGTATTTAAAACTGATTTGAACAAATCATTACTCTCCACGTCTTGCATAGATTCTTGTGCTGCCATCTATCGTTAAACTGGAAAAGTAAAATCAATGAGTGCAGCTATAATGGGAGGAAAATTATGTGCTTCTTTGACGTTTTCCCTCTCTCTTCACTTGATAGTTTGCTTTTTTAACTATTTCCTATAAATATTCTTAAACTAAATCAAAAGGTAATTTACTTTTTTGCAAGCAATTTGTCTGTCATTCTTCTTACCGGATGATCCTCGCATGTTTTTTCGTAGTGATTTAATAGAAATGTAGAATAAATGTGTTTTTGTAGAAATTCCAAATTCTGTTATAAGATATCACTGTGATAGCTTATCGTGTGATAGTATCACATCAGATTAGAGTAAAAGACTCGTAATTATAATTGAATTTGTCTGTACTTCAAACATGAAGTATTAACTTCATAGTATTAACACGCGTGAAATATTAAAGCACAGTAATCTCCATGCAATTAATTATTTAGTCATTTGTAGTTGCAATATTATTAATTATCTTCCTAAGAATAATACTGATAGAAGAGTTAGAAATATAAAGTCTTGTATTGTTAGGAATGGATCAGGAAATAAAAGTGGCATTAGTTTCAAAATCAACTGACATTTCAAAGAGATATTTTCATCTTTATTTACTGAAAGATAGTCTTTATGAGACGATATTCGTAATGAATTGCTAGATTCATCTCAGATACACCGCAGGGTACACTCCGATAATTCTCAACTGAAAGAAATTTTTTATTCATATTCATTAATTAACAATATTAAAGGAAAATTAAGGTGAAAGCAAAATTGAAACTTCATTAAATGGCAGATTTTTACATGTTTTAAAAATTCAATTAATTTTTGTATTTATATAATTCGTTTTCTGTATTAACAGATATTGAAAATTTCTTTCGCATTTATTTAAAGCAGAGTACTTCATACTGCATGGTTATATTTTAATATACGTAAAGAGATTGTTATCAAATGTTTAAGCACTTTTTAGGCAATAATTCAAGATAGCTATTACTAACATTTTAAAAAGTAAAGTCATATATAATTTGGAAAATGGTTCTAGTGATTTATATTTTTTAATAACAAAAATGTGAGTTTCTTGTGTACTGTGTGAAATAAATACATTTCAATTATAATCACCAGTTATGTTTGCGGAATGTATTAGGTTTCGTTTATAGTCATCAGATTGTGGTTATTAGTTTAAGTATTTAAATATAATTAAAAGGTATTGTTGTATGTATTAAACTAAATAATTCGTTACTTTGGTGTTTTAGGATCAAACAAATCTAAATATTTGATTAAAAGAAGTTTTTATTATTAAATCACAATAATCAAATTATCAAGAATTTCCTGAATGCAGAGCAGTGAAATAAGGGTTATACCTACATATTCACACTCACACGCCCGCATATCTCTATATTAAATAAGTATGTATATTACTTATAAATTACAAATAAATGAATAAAAATAAGGCGAAAAATGTTTGCTATTCAAAAGCAGATTTTTAAATTTCTCTTTAGACACTGCCAAAATATCACAGAATCTCTTACACAGAAGTGTCTTTTTATATTAGGTATGTATGCCTGTATTTTAATCTCGTTTAATCTGCTTCTTTCTGCAGTTAATGTGTGGCATGAAACGCCCATCTCCTGAACCAGTGGAAAGGCCACCTAGCGTCGGGAAACCAATTAAAAAGCCTAAAGTGCAGAAGAAGAAAAAGAAGAGGGATCCCAACGAACCTCAAAAGTAAGTGCTGGACTACAACAATATTATCTTTTGCTTTTTTTTTTCAGCGATTAGATGAAACAGATTTATAGTATGATCTGCACAGACCTATTTTAAAAATCCGAAGTCCTTAATGAGTTTATGTTCGTGTACCCAAACTGGAAGTAGAAATAAAAATATAAAATTGCGCAGTTACAAAGTGCTATTTAATTTTGAAAATTCACCTTTAAAAAAATTTGCGTGTTGGCTATGCGTATTATTAAATGGTTAGCATATCCAGTTAGCAAAATAGGATACCCAAGTTTCAAGACCCGGCAAGGAGGCTGTAGAATCTTCATATTTCTTATGCTCGGAGAAATTAATAGTTTGCACAATGGCGTCAGCACTAAAATGTGGTGGCTGGTAAATCGTCACTTAATGGATTTGGTTGGTTGAGTCTCGTGCTCTCTCCAGTTGCTTTTGAGTTAGGAAAAAATATAAGGCGTAATCTCAAACACTCTGTGCATGTTCTAATGGTTTAAAGGTCGTATCACACATTCAAAACATTTCCGAAGAGCAACCGTTTAATACAATTTTTCTGCTCTGTCGCACGATATGAAACAACCATTCAGCGCGGATAGTTTTGACATGTAAAGGGAATACTAGTTCTCCAATATAAATGATGGTTGATGACTAGGAATTCATTGCTGATAGCTGATTGGTTGTTGAAAACGGACAACTGGCAGTTTTTTTGCGAAAGAAGGGAAAAATATCCTGAATCTTTCTTTCAGTGATAAATGCAGGTAGAAAAATTGTTGATACAGTTGTTCGTCTGAAATAAATGGCTGTGTGATACCAACCTAAGTGTGCAATCAGCAAGCAGAAATTTGTAGTTCGCATCTCGACGGCAGCATGTTTGCCTTTCTCCCTTTTCTGAAAATCTTAAGAGTCTGTACTAAGTAACACGTTTATGCGAAATAATGTCCCTGTAAACTTTTAATGATAATAGTAACGGATAAAGCAGGAGTTGCCTGCCTCCACCTGAAGTCTAAAAATATTCAATAAATTTATGTTAATTAATTTTGATAATGATTGATAAAATTAATAACCTGGTTTAATTATAATCAATTACTTGGATAATTAATGGTAATTAATGATTTAAACAATCCATTGATAACGCTGTGCCATAATTCGTACAATGTAAGTACAATTATATATTGTATATTCTAACAAATATTAAATTTTAACAATTTAACTGACAAAATTAACTATTAATCGCAATAAAACTTTAATTACTTATTTTTTAAACATTAAAAAATAATAAAATTCAGCTAGAGTCACACTAAATCCTGATTTATATATCGCCCATGCTGTTGTTGCTTAAAAACAAAAAATCAAACAAATATCATATACATAGCGGGTGTGTTTTGCATGCCAGATATAGCAAAATAGCTCGAAAATTAACCCTTAACAATTCTGTTTGTGCTAAAAAAGTGGTGTTTATGACTCGGAATTATTTTCTGCCAACGTATTTTGCGATGTCTCCGACCGAAACATTATTCTGTTTTCAGTTAGGATAATAATACCGTTGATTGAATTGCTATTATTTCGAAATGAAGTTTCCTTTGCCACGCAGCTTACAATACCGGATCCTGGCTGCCAATAAAAGATAATGGCGCCTTCGATTTAATGATTGCTTGTTGTTGAAACACAAAAGGTGAGAACCAATTAGAAAACAAGTTTCTTTGTGAGCGCCATGTTTGCGCTAGCCAAGGGTGAAAACATTGTGACAAAAGCTTAAAAATCCATTATAACTGTTTTAATAAAGAAATACGATTTTTATTTATTGCTACCATTATATTTTAAAAAGTATTACTTTATCGCTTTCATTTCATTGTGAAGCTCATGAATGCGAAGAAAATAGAGATAAGGAAAAGTATTTGATCGGAAAATTAATTCAGATTTTTATTAAATTTTACTGTAGGATTGAGGATTTAATACGGAACGAAATGTTATAAAAAATTTTAATTTAATTTTGAGAAAAAAAGTTTAAATTTGTAATGTGGAGATGCTCAATGTACATCAAACTGCTGCTATTATTAAAATATTAATTTGGATTTTCCAATTAGGTCGCTTGTTGTGATTCTATTCTCTATGATTATTTAAAATCTATTTTATATAAAGTTAGCATGTTGTGTAGTAACTAGAGTACATTCATTGTAACATAAAATAATAATGTTTTTTACTCCGTTTTAAATTTTTCTTTACGCCAGTTGTTAACATAGCCACATTTAAATATTGACAAAAAAACAATAAATTGAACTTTAATGCGCTATGTATTTAACCTACCCGTTATTATTTAACGCCTTTTTCATCTTTTTTAACACCAGTTTTAGAAAAATACCCCAAAATTTTTGCAATTGACCATTTAAGAACTGGCGTTTCTCATTTTGTTTTGTTTATAATTTTAAAGTGACTTTTATAAATTTCATTGTTTCAGTTTGTGTAATTGCGAACTAATTCAATTTAAATGTTTGTTAGTTTGTGAATTCATTACCAAATGCTTCCGTGATCCATAAAGTGAGTTTCATCAAATAGCTAATTACTTTATTTCACAAAACGATTGGACAATTCATTATATGGCGTTCCATTCTTTTTCATAATTGTCAAGCCATTACATGATTTTTTTTGCTTGTTACACAAGCAGTTTTGTTATGTAATTTGCAATTCAACAAAAAAACAATTATTTGTTTTTTTCAAAAATAGCAAAATTGTAAAATGTCAAACAAATGAAAATGAAAGCAGAAATAGGTGGAAACTAATTGCATTCTCTATGGTCCTGAGACAAAATAGCAATTACCTTGGATTGGGCATAGATCATGGATTGGACATAGATCACCGTGGCCACAGAAACTTGGTTTAGAAATCTGCATGAAACATGTGAGAGAACTTTTCACAAGGAATTTGTTCCTAAAAGACAGATGACGAACTTTATAATGTAACATAATGTAACCTTTAACTTTGTAACATAATGGACAACCTTCTGAAGACAATTCAACGAATGAGGCCTGAAAAGCTTGATCGAATTGCTGTAGGATAATGCGCAGTCATAATTCACATTAAGTAGTGTCTAGGTAAGAAAAGTGTCCCAATTCCCATCCATCTTTATTATTCAGCAGGTTTAACATTTCTAGACAACTTTATCATCCCTAAAATGACATTTCACTTCACAGGTCATTATTTTAATAGCCTTGCCGAGATGTAGGAAACCGTTAGCAGAGAAACAGTATTTGAAACAATGAGATGTACTAAGGAATGAAGCAGCCGCATAAATGTGCCATGTGTTGTGTACACATACAAGGATTTTGTATTGAAAAATCAGAAAGAAGAATGTTGTTTTTCTTTAAATTTCAGTTTATGTGCGAACTTATGTGGTCAATTAGTCTCCCTCTAATTTTGTCGCGAAAAAAATAAAATTATTTGTTCCGAAATGTTTCAATTCTTTCAGATATTTCCTTACATGTATGACTTAGAAATACATGCATTTATAATACCCTGAAAAAATTTCTTTAGTATCCTGAATGTATAATATACTGAATGCTTATTCATAATGAGTCAAATAGAGATTAATATTATTTTTTGCTTTTTGTTGGTAGAACGTTTGTTACTCTACTCTTTGAAAAGTGTTCAAGTGACTATATTGTCACGGAATTCTTCAGACCCAATGAGAGCCGTTAATTTTTTTTAAAGAAGCAAAGTGTTATTTTGAGACATTATTTAATAGTAGTAATTTGAGGTCATTTCAAAACATTTTAGGCTGCAAATTTTGTATGCTTACAACGTATTAAATGAATAAATCAGTTAAAATTGTTTTCTTATTGATGCGCTTCAGGGTTTAAGAAATTATCAGTTTTGTGTATGACTCACAAATTGTTATCAAATATCCAGATAAAGTTTTTAAATGTACTAGTTTAATCGTTTTTTCACGGACGCATTGAATCAGAAACTAGTCGGTTCGTGAAATAGTTGTCTTACCGAAAAATGTCACCGATGACGAAGGGTGTCTCTAGATACGAATAAGTAAGCCGGAAACAAATGATACTCGAAAATGCAGTTAATGCAGTGAAGGAAATGTCTTCAGAAGAAGAAGAGGGAACAGAAGATTTTCCTAGTTTTTTTTTTTTTTTTAATTGCAAGATTGCGTAAATTGGGGTAAGGTCTAAAGGTTCATAGAACAGACTCAGCCTCATAAAGTAGAAGTATAAATATTTGCAGTGACACTTTGCAGAACTTGCTTTAGGAACATTTTATAACAGTCTTGCTTTAGGAACATTTTATAACACAGACAGAAGCAAATCACAGTGGAGAATATTTAATTGCGCAAAGGCTCGGCGATTCTCGAGTAAAAGCGAATGATGCTAAAAGAATGAGGCGAGAAAAAAATAGGGAAAAAGAAGCTATCTGATATTTTTACGGAATGGGATTTCCCTTTCAAACATTAACATTAAGAACATTTCGCTTCTTCGCCGTTTTCTTTCGATGTTTTATATATTAAGTGTAGTGTTAAATATTTTGTGTATGTTAATATGTATTGTATATATGTATGTATGAATATATGCACTGTGTACGTGTTTATATGTATTATGTGTGTATGTGTTGTGTGTGTACGAGAGAGAGATGTGAAAGAAGGAACGAAAACTACTAACTTTAATTTAGCAATAGTACTTTTAACTCCTTATTTTAATTTGACAATGTCCCTTTCCTGAAATCTAAAGTGCGTCATCTGAAAACTAATCCGCATTATGTCACCTTATTAATCCTGCAGTGCGGTAAACTGTTATAATAATCACAGTGCCCAAAATTTAAACAAAGAAGCCAACTGTATAAATACCCCTTGCTGAAATGCGCACTCTTTTTTTATTTGCCTTCTTCTCGCTATGCTAACGTGAGATTGCTTACTTCTCCACTTTAGCCATTATCAAATGATCTGATCCGCTATATAAAGGATAACTGAGAATATGTGTCTTGAAATATTATCCATC